CTACATCTCCCCTGGTGAACGGGAGGCCTGCAACTCACCTGGTAAACATAAAAAAGGCAGCGGATTCCCCTCTGTTGACCCAGTTTTGACACAATCGTTTGGTGACTTAATCAGATAATTTTCGTTCTGAAATGTGCAACCCGTATTTTTGTTATAGAGCATGTTTTGCAATCTCACAAATGTTCTGCATAAATAGCTTCTTATCAAGTCTATCGATTCTCATCCTGACCCACAAAAAAAAAATTAAATTAAGGGAAGGCAAACATAAAACATTCAAATCTAAATAACCATTACTATATCCTTGGCAAGTCGTTGAAAAAAAAATAATCATCAAGTCCTAAGCCCCAACAGCCCAGACACTAAATACTTTTTACATGCGGTTTCAACCTCAGATACGTACCTTATGCAGGTCAAACACATGTCTCACCCCTTCAGCAACGGAAACGGTCAAGTTTCTTTGGATATCCCATGCAACAAGAACCGAAGCCTGGGTGGAAACAAAAAATATCCATGAAATGAGAACATCATGGCGACCTAAGGCCGAGCTGACCATGAGATGACGACATCATAGCGACCTAAAGCCGAGTTGACAATGAGATGACGACATCATAGCGACCTAAAGCCGAGTTGACCATGAGATGACGACATCATAGCGACCTAAAGCCGAGTATAGCTGACGTTAAAAATACACGATGGCCTGAAAATGTTGATATCGTGGTTAGATTTCATGCCTGCAGCTTTTTAGTCGCACAGTATAAATTTGTTTATCTAAAATCGAGTCTTTCTGCCGATTATTTAAATTTGTTGAAATCCCAACATCCTCATACGATCAGTGGTGGTTCCAAAGACAAGAGCGGCGTGTATAAAAGCCAACCGTAGTGGTAAATGAACGGCTGCTTGGATTATAATAGATGGTTTGGTTCTCCTCAATAACACACCAATCAGTCTCATCTACCGATACATAGGCCTATGTCTTTTACTTTTATGTTTCCAAAGGCATTTGAACCGAGGACACTTACTTACATGGACGTCAAATTACACAGCGACATATGACTGTATGAAAATTCTACCATAAAATAAACCTCAATTTTAATCTTAAAGATTGCATTTATTTTATTTTAACAAAAATTGTGGTTGTCATTGTAATATAACTCATGGGGGAGTACTCCTTTCATTTTAACAAAACTTAACATGAATTATTGACCTTGATCTTTAAATTTAAAAAAAAAAAAAAAATTAAAATAACGTTGTTAAGACG